GTTTCAAATGAATTGTTCAAACTGTGAAACAATGCATTTCTGATGATACTTTTGTGCATTATTTTATAATTTTAACTACTTACTGATAACAATTGAATCAGTGATTGAATTCCCAAACATTATTTCATAGTTTGAACAATTCATTTATAATAAATAATTAAATTGTTTTATTTACAATAACGAAAAAAACAGACACATAATACATATATTTCTTGCTTTCTGAAACAATAAACGAGCGAAAATTTTTATATGTTGTCTAAAGCGACAATCACCGCTTAATTTTTGACTACATAACTTTTCTCTACATAAATTTTTACTTAATATACATCAATGCAGTTATACTTAAAAATTAATATCGTGAAAATGTAAATTTAGTTTTAACCGATAAAAAATTAATAAATTATTACATTTAACATTGTAACATATTTACAAAAGAGTGACTTTTATGATAGAAATTATTGATTAAATTATTGATTAGTATAACAGAAAAACCGTTTCTCGAAATATTAAAAAAATTTATCAATTGTTCCAGATCACTGACGACCGAAACATTAGATTAACTTTGAGCAGTATGGAGACTTATTACCAGTTTAACTTACCGTCATGTGCACATCGAAATTTAGGAGTGAATTTTTAAATAATATTTCTGAATATTCTAATTGTTTAAACATTATCTGATATTTCTAATAATTTATTTATAACAATTAAACAATAAATCCTCTTCTATAACATTTAAAATTAAAGTACTATTAAAGTACTATTTAAAATTTTTAAAAAAGTACTATTTAAAATTTTTAATGAATCATTTGTAGTAATCGAGTCACTAATACATTTTTAAGAAATCTTAATTAACTGTTTCGCATTAACGACCAAAAGATCGGAGAAAAGTCGATCGATACGAAGACAAAAGCTTAACAAACTGAACTTTCGTCGCGTACGTTTCGATTAAATTTTAGAAGTGATTCTAGTTGTTTAAACACCATCTGATATTTAAAGAATGTTAAAAATGTTAAAAATTAATATGATAAAAGTGAGTTAAAAGTAAAATTGTGGACTGTGTTCAAACGCACATTGCTGAAAAGAATTTGAAAAGCAGAAGCATCAGTATTCAAGAAGTTCGGAGGCATCAAACATAATCAAATTTAAGTCAAATTTTAATCTACAATTCTGATTTCAGGTCAGATGATCCGATCAGTAAGTTGCATGGTTCGGTTCCTTTAGTATTGGGTTAATACATGATCATGACTATTTGAACTTGAATACAAGTTCAATTGCCATGATTTGTATTGTAGTCGTACAAGATATACTTTGACAGTTACCATTCTTTCGAAATTACCCTAATTTATGTTACATTTCATAGCTAATATTAGTCCAATAATACTATTGCTATTTAAATATCATTAGATACCTTCATTACTTCTCTTTGAATCTAAAATAATTTAATCTTTTACCATTTGTCAATAAGAATGTTTATTCAATATCTTAAATTAGTCATTAAATTGATCAAACAATTATGCTTTATTTTACAAATATCATTTCTCTTCCAAACAAATTACTATAATGAGACCCGTGCGTAGTCACCTCCACGTGGTGGGTCTTGGTAATTGATATCGTTTTACAAATATTAAAATTTGTAAAACGTCATCAGGCTGAGTTGCATAAACGATGAACTTTAATGTTTGTGAAACGATTTCAAGCTAAGAATTACGCAACCCACAGTTCAGTTTAGATCGTCCAAGTTTCTTTTGTTTCTTTATTTCACGATCTAAACTAAACTGTAGGGACAATTGATAAATAAAATATTAGACCCTCCCAGCGAGGATAATGAGGGATCTCACAGGGACACTATGGAATGCATGCGTTTAGCTTTAGTTAATCACAAGATAGTTAATATCTGTAAATTCAATGTAAGCATTACAGAAATACTTCTATAGAATGATACCTGTAACAAAGAAATTATATATGTTATCGTTTACAAAAATTAATTTGACTTCGAAATTTCGAATGAATTTTGCAAGAAATATTAACAACACATAATGTACTTCTTTATTGCAAACAATATTTTTAAAAATATTCTATTGATAAGTTCAAACTTTCATAAAATTGAGTTTATGGGAAAAGATAATTCATTAGGGTTGTGAATTTACACATTTATAAGTAAAAAGACGTTATATCTAACTATGTTGTTCATAAAAATATCACATTTCAATCAATCTTTTCTAATACTTTAGAATAGATGTTAATAGTCAAATATGCACTAAATTTTTCATCCCAATTTCCATTAGTCGCTGTTTACATTCCTTCCATTCTCAATTCAATAAATAATTCTCGAGACAGATTCTGGCAACACTGTTCATATTTTTTTAATTTTAATTTTCGCCACTGATAGTGCTGCGGTCGCAAAATCGATAAAACAAGATGTGACAAGAAAATGGTAAGGATCTAGGATCTTATTATCATGGCTGAAAAAATACATGGTAATGCACCTTGTTTGTGGTAATGAGTTTCAAAAATCATGTCGTTAGTTCATTCACTAGTTCCCCAACTCACTGTTGTGTAAATGTAGAGTACGCTAAAAAACCAATGATTTTTTAGTATGTTGGTATTTCAGGCCATGAAAGTCCGTAAGTTGCAATGCTATTCATATACCTCGTCTGTGCACGTGACATACCAAGGAGGACAATAATGTGTGATGAAGATAGAAATAGCGATTAGTTCTACCATTTCACCGTTATGTGGAATTTCAGTGCCCGCAAAGCGATCAAATTTTCATTTGCAAAAAAGCTATTAAATAGGGATTAATAAATCTGCGAAAATTTATAATTATACGATTTTATCCTTTTAAATTTATAATTAAAATTTATAATTATACGATGTTAACCTTTACAATTAGATTCTCAGCTTTTTTCCCACATTTTATTTGATCTGTAGAATACATGTATGAAGATTTACAAGTTCCATTTATGTAGATCGGACAGGTTCAGATTTTCACTCGATTAATCTGCGGCCAATGTTAATGAATTTGGAAGCTAATACTTTAAACTGTATCCACGTTTAATTTTAAGTCAATTTTTGAACGTAATTCAAGAGAAATTGAACAATACATCTGGAACGCGAAAAAGCATCATATTTTAATCTATATTATCTTTAGTCAATGACCATTGATTGTCCTAGTTCCCCAGAATACGAAATTTATTTTTTTCACTACAAGTTTGGTACGTGGCATATTTTATTGAGTGTACGTAGTTATGTTCAACATCACGTTAGCAATGAATTCATTGCAAGACGCAGATATTTATACAGAATTTAGCGTATAAAATATTTTTCAAACAAAATGGATTACTTAATTCCATCATATTAACTTCAAATACATTCAGCTTTTTTATAACACTTGTCCACAAAATCTATCAGCTGTCAGTCTTGAATTTAATATTTCCATGTTATCAATTATCTTTGACACTCGTGACTGCAATTAATATTCAGAATATTTACGTCAGAATATCATCTTAGAAAACTGTACTTTGACCAAAGAAACTAATTATGAATTAATTCAGTTAGAATTGTCGGATTATTTTATTGAAAGATATTTTATTTAATATACCGAAAAATATGGGTAATAGATCGAGTCTTCTTTTACGCGAAGAAGAAATAGCGCAAATTCAAGAAGCCACTGGATGTAAGTTTTATTTACAAAATATGTTATTTCAGGGTGATGTTCATATCTGTTGCTCTATTTAAGAAATAATGTAATGATCATTTTTAACCATTATTATTTGTAACGTTATAGTCATTATATATATATATACATGTTTTATGTCATAAAAAGCGTAACAAGCATATTATAATAAATATTTATTTTATTTATTTATACTTGAGTATTTATTTCCATTATTCATATACGCATGTATTGCAATATTAGGTATTTATATACAAGAATTGTATCCTTGTTTTAACATGATTACAGTTACTCCAAACCAAATTGAACGCTTGTATAGTCGTTTCACAAGTCTTGATAGGGGTGATTGCGGAACGCTTAGCAGAGAAGATTTCCTTAGGATTCCAGAACTAGCGATAAATCCTCTTGGTGATAGAATTGTAAATGCTTTCTTTGAAGAAAGTGGTAACGATAGGGTGAATTTCTTACAATTTATGCAAGTGCTGGCTCACTTCAGGCCCATTAAGAAGAATAGCCCTAACAGATTAAACTCTAGGCAAGAGAAATTGAAATGTAAGGGAATAATAAGATGACAGAAAAATTAAAATGGATTAAAAAAGTCTTATTACAAGTCCATTATTATTTCCAGTTGCTTTCAAAATGTATGATTTGGATAATGATGATTTAATTTCAAAGGATGAACTCTTAGCTATTTTACACATGATGGTTGGTGCAAATATTAGGTAAGAAAATGGTTTTGATTCAAATGAAGATGAATCAGTTTTAATATGAAATAACAATTATATATTTAAACAATCCTCATTTATTTATTTTAGCGAAGAACAGTTAACTAGCATTGCAGAGAGAACTATAGTAGAGGCTGATGAAAATGGTGATGGAATGATTTCATTTGAGGAGTTTTGTAAAGCATTAGAAAGGACAGATGTGGAGCAAAAAATGTCCATACGATTCCTTAGTTAATTTATTTTATTTAATCTTCTTTTATAAATGCACAATTTGCTGATGTGTTGGACACGTGTATAAAGATTTATTATAATTAATAATGATGAATATAATAATTCTTTCTTACATCTTTTCATTTATTTTACATTGGAAGAAAGTTGAATAATGTTTAGTATTCAATGGTACAATAAAAAGAAAAATATAGAAAATTTCATCTTCTTTAAAACTATTATTAAAACAGCTAATGATTTTAATTAATAAAAAATAGTACTGTTATAGAATTTCACTACGATGACAGTTTTTGGTAATTTACAATATCTATTATTCATTTTATCATTCATTGTTTATAATCTTCCAAGAGAGAAAAAAAAGAAGCTGACCACATTTATAATAAAAAGTACTATTGAAAAATAAGTTATGACATTAATGACAGGTTAAAAAATTACAACATGAATGTAAAATATGTCTTACATTAATACTTATTTGTACATGAATTATACCTTGACTTAAGAAAAAAATATTAAGGAGTTATATTTAATTAGTCGTATATTTTCATTACAATGGAAATCTATACTGTATCTATTTTATTTTTCTTAATAAATTGCAATTATAAATGTCTCACCTGAGACATGTCTATGTCTGAGACATTGAATTTTGCATGTGCAAAACGATGGTGGGGAAATATAGAATATTTTTTGTATTGTTGCAATTTAAGCTGTAGATGATACAGCCAATTTTTTTAAATGCTCCATGAATACTTGTAGACTGACATCGTCAGTTAAGACAGGCGCTCCACTTTCCTAAATTGTAATAATAATTAATTAGAAATTATAATTGATAATTGTCTAAATAGAGAAAAACTAATGTTTCATTCCCAAACCGTATGATAGAAAAAAGAAAAGGAAAAAAATTAGAGTTAGTTAATAATTCATAAAAATATACTTTGAGAAAAAAAGATGTCTTGATGCCAACCACCAGTGAATTGTGTCAATACTGCTACGAAAAATGCTTGTGTAGAATTTTTTATTTGCTTTATAAGAGTGTGAAATAAAGATGACCCATATTAATGTTCCTGCGAACTTTCGGAATACTTTCGGAACAGTTAATACATGTTAGTTATTTTATTACTGTTAAAAAATGTGATAAAGAGAAAATAAATATTTTATTGTATAGATAGATATCAATTGTTTAGGTTCATAAATTTTTCCTGCTAAATTCCATTACCAAAGCAGTGAAAGCAAATATAAAAAAAAATATATCAAATGAATGAAAAACACACCCCACTGGGTATCGGCATCCCCTGGTTGCAGGATCACGGTGATAAAAATAGTGATAAAAAAAATTATTGGTTATGTATGATTCATTTACACTTAATGTTGTTGAAAATGAATAACAGATAAAAGAGATTGATATACAAATTCAATATTGTAAATTGAACGTATTATTCAGAATAAAAACAAAAAATTAAGTTTACTTACCGCTCCGTAGGCATACATATTATTGTGAGTTTGACTTGGGTTTACTTTGCTCAATAAGAACCTCGCTTGCGAACCACCTTGTTCAGTATCGATATATCTAGGTGCAGGGAATCGTTCAGCTAATATTTCAGCCGCATCATCAACAGGTGCTGCCAATAATTGTCTGAAATTTTCGTATTCTGGCAAATCTTGATATTTTAATTGGCGCCATTGTGCAATGGTCTGTAATAAATTAATACATATTAAAGTCATTTATTATAAATTAGCATAAACAGCAATAACAGAAAATTACCTCTCCGTGGAATATGAGGATTTGGAAGAAAGTGTCCATCAACAAAATTCTGTCTGGTTGAATAGATGAAGTATCTAATAACACTGGTTCCGGGGGACCGCTAAATCCATAACTATATAGAATTGGTTGTACCATTATTAAAGAATTTGTTAAATCTTCTCGCATGAGCATATGCCTGCAATATTTAAAACTCGATTAATAACGAAACATTTCGATCAATCAAAGTACAAAGGTACAATAATTACTGACCTATAAAAACTAGTTTCATCGGGGGAATTATTAAATACTTGTAAGAATTGCGACCTACGTAAGTGATACATAAATTGAGGATACAAGGAAAAGTTTTCCGCGAGCCTAAAACTATTCGGATCATCCTTTGCATACTCTCCGAATTTCTGGCACTATAACAGAAATATTTAGTTTTCACAAAAAATAACATATGCTATACATGAAATATTACATGCAAGTTTGGAAAAAATACAAACCAATCTGATAAGCATACGATCGACCCATCTTAAAACATCTGGTCCATCATCACTTTCTGCCCTAAATACCGCTAAACGTGACATAAGAACAGCTGCTGCTTCTTGATCAAAGCCTGCACTTATATGATGTAAAGATGTTGATGCATCCGCCCAACTATAATAAAGAATATTGTTATTTAAAATTCAACAATAATATTTGGTAATTGGACGAATAATGTTAACACACTTTCTAGCGATCGTCGTAACTCTAATTCTCCGTTGACCGCTACTATGTTGATATTGTGTGATAAACTGAATGCAGCCTCTTCCACCCTGAGGAATTGGCGCGGTATGTTGATTGACAACTTCGAAAAATAATGCCGTAGTAGTAGATGGCGTAAGAGAACAGAATTTCCATTGGCATGTGCCACCTAATCCTACTTCTTGCTCTCCGACACTTGATCCTTTAACGCCCAGAGACACACAGGGACCAATTGCTCCAGAAACTTTGATTTCTCGTGACGTCTTTACTTCTAACGTTGCATTAAATGCCATTTTTAAATCGCCTTTATGATCTTTCGCAAACACACGTTGGAACGTTTGTTTAAATAGAGAAGAATTAAAAGAATCTCCCATGACCATGTGACCACCAGTTGAGTTACAACATTGTCTCATTTCTAACAGACCAGTTTGATCGAGAGCGCATGAGTATATATCTATTATGTGGCCATTAGTTGCGGCTCGTGACGCGAGAGAATCATAGTGTTTAGTTGCCTTCTTCATATGTTTGGCATTATCTTTTTGGATATCATGATGAGATCTGATTGGTTGTCTTAAGTCGTCTGTTACTACTTGACCAGGTCCTTGAGAGCAAGGTCCACCAACAAATAACATTATTCTGAAAATAACATGAAAATATACTTAAAACATTTAGTTACAATATTTGCAAGTGAAATATATACCTAGCTCCTGTGCTAGCATAACTGGCTTCTAAAAGACCAGTAGCAACAGCTAATGCAACACCAGTCGATCGTAGTGGACGTTTTCCTGGACCAACAGGCCATGGATCACGTTGTAGTTCTCCCAAAAGATCTGTTAAACTCATATCACACTTATGTACAGGCTGTAAAAAGCGATTAGCTGGTGGAAGAGGTTGTCCACCAGGTCCTCTTTGCTGGTTTGGATTTTGGCCTGGTATTGGCCTACCTATACCTGTAGCAGTCTATAATTAATATCTACTTCATTTTATTATAGAAAATCACTATGTCATTTTATTATAGAAAAATGAAAATGTACCCAGCATGTCTTGAACTTGTTTTGGTTGTAAATCTTTAGTACCACGAAAAACATAACTTTTACTACATCCTTCGCAGCTCAATTCATGAACTTGCACCATTCTTCCAAATGTAATAAGTCCAATGAGAGTATTTGGTGGTAGGAGCGAGAGTGACATTTGTAAAGAATCCTTAAGGGAACCTAATTCTTCATCATCCATACATGTATCCACAACCAGTAAGAAAATAGGTGGTAGACATTGTGCTCTCTGTATAAAACAAAATTAATATCCAATCAGACAATAAAGGTATAAGTATTTTGTTTTAAATCATAAATATTAATTACCATTATGGTGTATTCAATTGTAGAAAATTTTGGTATCAATTCAGCTGGCTGATGCTGTTCTGAAATAGCAGCATATTGTGGAGGAAACTGAAAACATTAAACATCAAAATATCATTTTTATAAAGAAAGGTAGTTACGTTCAATCGTATCATCAAGATAATCATAAGATCAAGATAATTTTGTTCTTACAGGATTCCTCTGAAAGCAAAGGTTGCACACCCATAGTTTAGCACGGTAATCCACTTGGCACAATGGATTCAAAATTGCTCTACAAGTAGATCTTGTACATAGAACAGGATCATATTGTATTGGTGGAAGATCTGGTCTTTCTTTGATTGGTTGGTAAAGTGTTCCCAATGGCACAACAAGTCTGGTGGCATCTAATCGTGATGACGGCCAAACATTCCAAGTGATACGTACTCCATCACGGTCTTCATTTTGTTGAATGAAATCTTCATAAGTAGTCATGTTGCTATAATTAAGAATTGCTCTGTAATAACAAACTTAACTGACGTCTAATTCCTATCATACAATTTTAAAATATGTGACAAGTGCAGTGGGTACAATCAGTGATTTTAGGTTAAACATACCAAATTGAATCAACGTTTAATTATCGTGTACTCGGACGATCAGCTCGAAATGATTTTAAATAATCTCTACTATAAAATCGTCATGATTATAACATTATTTTACAATTAGATTAAAACAACACGATTTCACCGCAACAGCACAACTCGTGCCGTCATTGAAGCCACGTCACTGAAAGCTTGGAGAATTGCTATGACGCATGCGCACAATGTTTTGACTTCACAGGCGGTATTCGAACGTAAATTTGTAAGTAAATGAAAATTTGGAATATTTAACACTTTATAACACTTTGTATTATTTTTCTCTTTTTTCGTAGAACGTAAAATCTAAATCAGATATAAAAAAACACAATAAATCAGTTTAGTTGCATTCACAGTATTTTGTGTTCCATAATATCTCTCGAGTCCTCCAAAACTCAAAGATTATTATCTGTAAATTGTAAGAAAAGAAGAAAGACAGAAAAATTCTTTTTGAATAATTAAGTTAAGTGACTGAATGATTAAGAATCTTCTACTTCAGATTGATCTTCCGAAAAATTTATTTTTCTTAGGTTAGCAAACCTAACGATATGATATCTCTTACATTTGCGCGCAAATGAGGGTTAAAATCTATGTTAGAAAGCAAATGTACATTTGCAAAGTGATTTATTCATTTAAATGTACAATTTATTGTAATATGTGTTTAGGGATTACAAGACGGAGTTCACGAAATCATCGTACAAGTAATTACATTTTGCGACGGAGAAATAGTAGGGATTCATTCAACCAATCAGCCGCAAAGTGATAACGACCGATCCTGAATTGAGTAGATCAGGTCGAGTGTTTACCGTCCGTATTTACTATTGCTACGACTCATGCTGTAACGTGAGTTACTAAGCTTGAATTTTACTGTCGAGACGTCAGTATTCCAGTGCACGCGTTGCGATACGGTATCCTGTTCGAGTATCCATGTCACGTACATCGCGAAAGTTGATTCACGACTAACCTCTGACACGGTGTGTAATATCCCGCAAAAAAAAAAAAAAGAAAATGGATAAAAGGTAAGATGCGATATTTCCTATAACTGGTACGATTTATAGTCATCAATGTATAATTTCGACGATAACTTTAGTAGGTTAGGATACCGTGAAGATGTTAGTAGTCATTCCAAGAAAAGTAAGAAACGATCTAATAAGAAAAACAGTGTGCTTGGCTCCTGGATGAATAATGTGCAAAGCAATCAAAACAACGATATGATATCCGGTATGGAATATCCACACTTATTGTGGCAGTCCAATATGCCACAGAACTTTCAGAACAGTGGGCAACGTCTTTTTACAACGACGTCTGATCCTAGCATGTGTGGTTATACACAGATGCCCATGACATACACCATGGAACCTGTTTCATTGCCAACCATGTATAGATTCTATCAGCCAGTGCCAGTTTCTGGTATTAGGACTGTTCACAACAGACCTCGACGACAATGTAATCAAAATCAGCCAATGAATTTGAGTATGAATTCCATGGCAAATGGTTATACGAGTTTGCAAGAAAACGGTGGTGAATCTCCTATCCCTGCTAACTGTCAGAATGGAGAGTATACAAGTTTACCTACTGCTAACAAGAACAATGAAATAAATGGAGATGAAATAAATTCAGAGCATCGAAGGTATTCAGATCCTGGTCTTGGGTCTGCAGAAGCTACAGTTCATAGCCAAAGCGAAGACTCTGATAGTGCTGACAGTGGCAGTTCCATTACTACAATTGGGCGTAGTAATAAATTGGTTCTATCTCTTATTGAACAGGTGGGTAGTTCTTCTTTACAATAACATTATAGAAACATTATAGAAATGTAATGAATGATTATTTGATTTTCTCTTCAGATGACAGAATTGAAAAAAAGCAACAGTCAGCTGTTTAAAGAGTTGAATGAAACAAAGTCTGAAATAGGTAGTATGAAGGTAAAGCTAGCAGTGTGCAGTTCTTCAGATTACCAACCAGGAATGTTATCAGGTAAATATTAATAAAAATACAGTAGCTTTTTATATTACTTTCACATATTTTTGTCACTTTAATTTCATTTTTTTTTACGTTAGATCTATAGTTATAAGTGGTAACAAATTGTTTCAGATTTCATTCGTGAAATCAGACAAGCCAATAAAACCTACGAAGAGGTATTGGTTTCAAAAGTAAAATCCATGATTGAGGAAAAGCTAAACCAAAAATCATTGGAAATAGTAAATTTAAACGTATGTATTAAACTGATTTACACAATTTTCAAATATAATTCTTTTTTTGTTAATTCGCCTTTGAGCCCAAAAGAATAGTGCTCCAAATAACTACTCACATTACAAGTAGGAGCAATAATTGATACTGCTGATAATTGATACTGTTGTTCAAAACATTGACTCATAGTTGTGATATCGTAACCATAAACATACACAATGTATCATCCTTATGCTAGTTTTCTCGTTCATAGATTCGAAAGTCGATGAGTTTGTAAAAAACCTCGTTCAGTGGGGAAAAGGCAGGAAATTTCGAAATGGGATAAAAATTCAGTATGTAGAAAACGTGGGAAGTGAAAACAAAGCGGATAAAAAAAAAGAGAGAAAGAATCCACTTTTTCTCATTCTCCCTTGACGTTGCAGTTAGGTTACAATAATGCGCACCGCTCCGTCCAACGCTTTCGGCATTTCCATGACGTGGTCATGGACATATTGTTTGCGTAGCATTCGTATGTTCTGTTTGATTAGGACGGCCAGGTGATCTTTACTTCTCCCCTCTTTGGCCTTTCCCCCTTTTTTCCTTTCTTACAATTTCCCTTTCTCGATTATCGTCTGCATGCGAATTTTCATCAATCAAGTTCACCTATACGTGTTTTCCGACCCTCGTTTTTCTTTTATTTGATTTATGCGCGTTTGCATTGGAATTTTTATATAGTGCTACTCAAACAAAGATGTCTTTGTTTTTCGTAGTATTTATATGAATGACGTAGCCTGATACTAGTAGAACGAAGTATTTAGACCATATTCATATTTATATCTGGCAAAGAGTTAGCGTTCAGTGGGATAATCCGTGTTTAAATATAATATTTTCTTGTTCTCGAGTAATTTTTCACAGCGATCTGTTTAATATGGAGCATTACATTGAAATTGGTCAAAATATCGTTTATTATTCTTGAGAGAAAATATAATTCTTGTTTATGTTTGAATCAAGATTTGTATTCTTGTTCAGTTAATTTCTCATTATCTAGAAAAAGAATGTGCTATATGTGCCGAAGTAATCTTCAAATCTACATTTAATTTATACCTTCAATTATTATATAAATATTCACAAGAAATAGCGTTCTATTCGAATTTTTGATTCTTCGTTTATCAGTGAGAAATATCTACTCCGAAATATTCTAGCTTTTATACTTTTATATTAGGTGGTAACACATGAAAAAATAATTATTTTCTTCAGTTAGTATACTATCCTTAAATAGAAAGAATAAAACGAAAGAGTAGGTACCTAATTAGGTGAAAACAAACTGATGTATGATTAATCAGTAATGTATTATACATCAATTTTTAATATTATTTGCCTTTTCTATCGAACTAATTTTTTAACTATTTCAGTAATTCTATTACGAGTTTCACTGGTTTGAATCTAACTCTTAGAAAAACCACATTAATTATGTAAATATACTTTACGTAATGCGTAAACCATACTTCGCGTAAACGATATATTTCTTGATGAAATCTATCTGAAAAATCTGAAAAGCATATCGATTAATTTTATATAATATAATCTAGTTACAAAGAGAAACTTTAAGAATTTACTTTATTTTAAAAATTCTGAGAAAATTCATGATAAATTCATTAAATATTATAAAACAAAAATCAGTAAATTATGATGATTGGTATTTTTTGAAATATACATTTAATTTCAAAATTCGGGAAAAAATAGATGATAATTTTGATAATATTTGATTGATCGATGTTGGTATGTTATTTGAAATTGTTTTTTTATAACAACGAGTTAACACAATATTTTCACAATGTTACAAAATGGTGATATTGTAAAAATCTTTAAAATTATGACGAGAATAAAATAATACATGTTCAACTCCAAGATCAAATAAAAGTGCAACTTTGCAACATCGTTGTGGCTCTTGCATCGAATAGTACAATAGTACAACTCTCTTATCATTATTTTCTCTTGCCATAATCTTCATATAGAAAATGGAGATTTCTTTAGTCTCTAACAACCCGAAACTCACTTTTCAATCGCATTTTCCCGCATACCTGACGATTGACCCCGCATCGATTTCATCCCTTAATTGAATTACCTATTTACTTATGTGTTTCACTCGAAAAGGGCTTGAGCTTTTTGTAACCCTTCTTGCATTTAACAGTACAACTGCTCTTTTATATTATAGTTATATAGTTTTCATATTTTCACATAAAAAATGGACCTCCTCCATTGTTCTTTCAATCTAACAACTTACACTTCAGTTGCATCTTCCGTCACATTAAAAAAATCGACTTCATCCCTTAATTGGTCTCACCGAAGGAATCGGAAGGCAGCCTCGTGTTTTCGATAAAAACCCGGCCTGATACCGGAGAACCTAATGTAGACGTAATACGAAATATCCGTGACGCTTGGTAAAAATGATTAGGTTTCACATGAGGGTGCCAGACACCGGGGGTAGAAAGGAAGAGGACAGAGAAAGAGAACGTTTCTCCCCGCGGGTTACGATGTGCAGAGGGACGAAGAAGGGTGAAGGATGAGGCACTTAGCGGCTGTCACGGCCTCTCCCTTGGCCTCTTTCCTCTCCCTCTTTTTCCTCTTCTGTCTTCTCGGGTTTCAACCATCCATTAGCCTCATCAGCCGAAGCGATGGCCGTCCGCGCCAGGCTGGCCTCTCTCCGTCGCGTTGCCAATCTCCGTAATTGAACCTCCGGGACCTTCCACTTTCGACCATGTAAATTTCCGCCATGCTCCGTGGCATTTCGACGCGTTTTCACGCGGTCCAAGTGGCCGTCGCGACGATCCACGGGAATCGTGTCCTTCGCGCTATCTCGCCATTTCGATCTTGTTGCTGAGAAAACATTCCTTTTTACACGTTAGCGAGGAATTTTACATAATTGGTCTTACGTAAGTACGTGTAGGGTGTTTGTTGTATCGCAGGATGAGCAGTACAGCTGCAACGTAATGATTTAAATTTTTAGAATTTAAAAATTTAATGCGCAACATTTCATATGAAGAGCGTACACTATGGATTATAGACCATAAGTATTTAGAAATTTTGTACAATTACTCGAGTGCTCGATAATTTGTTATACGATCAAAGTCATGATTTGTTTAACTGTCTGTAACATTGAATAATTGCTTTTCTATACTTAGTGTATTTTCTATACTTATTGCTTTGAAATTCCATCAATACACCATTACAAAAATGTCAGACGACTTATTAGCTGCCAGATTTTAAATTGGAGCAAACAGCTATACTCTATTAATAATCTTTTTCTTTTATACGTAAATAAAATTTTAGTTGCAGAGTGCTAATTTTTATTATAAGTAGGATTCAATATTCTCTAACATGTTTCGATTGAAGTACGTACCTTATACCCATGAAAACATCTAATTTTTGCAAAATATATCGTATTTGATTTATTATATTTATCTGACAATCTGTTATCTGAGTTAACTCACATTGTTCAAAAATTTTTAGCTGATGAAATTTACTCTGTTTTAATTACTCCAAAAAGTAAAATGTTAATCATCAATGATCATAATGGTAGTGAACGAGTTTCTGAATTGAAATAAGGAATATATTTAATCTTACATAATTTGAGTTCTATGTTGAGTTCTAACAAATAGTTAACATTTCACAAACTTTTGGAATATGGCTAGAAACATCGTATTCCATCTATTCCATATATACATTCTTCTGAACAATATTGTTCGTTCAACATCTTTTATTTTATTTCATTATTAATTATTTTATTTCATTCATTAATTGTTAGAAACCTATTAATATTTAAAATAATTGCATTGGTAAAAGAAGATGTAATTGTATTAGTTAGAAATTCGTAATTTTTTACAATTTGAACAGTGATATTTTGAAAAGAAAACTGATTATCATCAAACGAAGATCATCGACTAAATATTTATTTTTAAAAATATTATTTCTCTTCTAACAGTTCTTGGTAATTGCACACTTTGTAGAATTATATGAGCAAAGAGATCTAAGCCTGTAACACTGTTATCTTGTGAAAAATTGCAGGTTGCTATGTAAATTGTTTGATTTCTTTCGAAACGAGCCGAACTATCTTATCTGTGCTGGATATTATTGTCTCCCTTATCTTTTTATCTTTATCCTAGTCTTCTTCCGACGGGTAGAGACGTCGAGCAAAATTTCTTCCAACCGTCTTTCTTAGAATTCATTACAAGTACATATGTAGGCATTCTAATGATTAATACATCAAATTCGCGTCCCAAATAATTTCTAAATATTTCCTAAAATAAATAGAAAATTCATTCAGTTTTTGCAATTAATAGTTCAAAGAATATTACAAAAATGTTAAAATACAGATACGTTGAATTTTTTTTATAAAAAGATATTTGTAGGAGTATGAGATAAATTAGGTACGTATTTCTTAATATTAAGCAGATTTTACACGTATGAAAGTAATATGGATGTGAATGAACTTATCACTCAAATTAATAACTTCTTCCTCCAAAGTAATTTCTTTTCTAATCGTGAATGAAAAGATTTTCCATTGATTCGTTTCAGAATCAAATAATGAAATTAATGGAGGAGAAAGAAGAAAGCGACAGGCGAATAGCAAAATTGGAAGAAGAGGTAGCCACGTTGAAACTGAATGCAAAGTGAGTACTTATTTATAATTTGGCATGGTTGCACATTCCTGTACTTTGGTACCCTTTCACCATTTCTTCTGCTATCAAGTACAGATTTTGTGGATTGTTTTACACATTTCGTCTAGTACAAATTTTGCACTGATCATTATTAGATTCATGTGATTCTGTAAATTATCGTTCAAATCTTGTCATATTGCCGGTATGAAAAGACCATGAGATTCGTTCTAATTTTCAAACTGTGATCACGAGTGATAAATGTCGAATTCAATAGCAAAATTCCGGCTTTGCTGGAAGAATTTAAATTTCATAATTAATTGATAGGAGAAAATTTTAGAATCTACATATCAATATTTAGTAGATATCATGTATCGTATCTAATATATTTTTCTTTTATTTATTATACTTTTTTATTATACTTTTGTTGAATCTTCTCCCAAGAAGAAAAAAAGATTATATAAATTGTTGACATTATCTTTTCTTTTCTATTTTTTCTTCTCGTTTTTTCAATCTTTTACATTTTTTCTGTCCTCTGTTTTTGCATTTTAATTTTCCATTAGACAAAATTATATTTCTATTATTTATGTTGTTATGTTGCTTATTGTTAGATATTCTGTTAATTAAAAGGAATATATTTCTTTACTTTACACGTGTATTTATTTAAAACTTCATATAATTTTATAGTAGTAGTAAGAATTTATTTTTAATTTGAGACAACATTTCAGTGCAACTTCTACTGATTTGACGTAGAAAATTCATCATGAATTATGTTGTTAGAAATCAATTTTTTTTTTTTTCGCGACTTACAATTTTTAATTTCTTTCTAGGAAATCTCAGATCATTGAATTAGTTTTTAAATTTATCACGATTAATAACCAGAATGCAATAATTTCGCTTCCGGCTTTACAATCAAATATTACACAAACATTTAATAACTGATACTTTTGAACATTTATTTTATATTTTCCACAAAAATTAATCACTAACTTTAGTTTATATAAATACACTCATAAAATGCTTGCGAGTTGCATATTAATCGTTTTAGTAAAACTGTCTAACATCTCTCTCTAAAATCTTAATAATTACTTAATCAAAATTACTTTAATTTAGATTTAAGATTATTCAAAAAGTTGTTTTTTCAAGAATTACCTTCATTCCCGAAAAAACATTCGTCGCTAAATAATTACGATCTGCATGTGTCATAGCCTTCTTTTTAATTCATTCAGGAAATACAGGCCAAACAATTGTTCAATAATAATTTCAGTAATTTTTTCTCTTGTAGTCTAGATCCATTACATGCTTGTAAATTGCACTTCATCCTCTGTTACCTAAAAATCTATTTTTAAGTTACTACCAAATAATTATTTGATCTTCTTTCAATCTAAATTACAAGTGCATAAATAAATTGCTACTTGTTTTGTTTAAAAACCATCTCTTTCCATTCTAAAAATCACTGGAAATGAAATCGCTGAAATTTACTTGAATATTTGATAATTTACATAAACTTTCATCCACCTGAAATCTGAATTTGAGAAAGGCTTCATCTATCCAGTTGGAATTCAAGAAAGCACTTCAAGAATGCACGAGATTCCTAGTTTTCTTATTCTTCCAATCTCTCACCGCACTTTTTTATCAGTTAGTTATTTTACACCCTGCACGTGAAAACGAGACCGCATGCACCAACATCCAGCGAACAATACACGGCGAATTATTTAATAACTTCATCCATCCAATCTGGATTTCAAAGAGGCTTCTCTTCATCCATCATCAAATGAAAATTCCAGAGACCACCTATCCAACAAAACCAAAAGTTGCAAACAATTGCGCACGATGTCACCTCCCTGTCCCAGCTTTCTTACTCTTCTCTCCGCTCTCCTCTTTGTCAAGTTGTCAACTCTCTCTGTTTCAAACCCTGCACGTGAAAATGGGAATCGCATGCGTCAAACATACATACCCACCCACAGTAAAAAACGCAGAACCAACAAAAAAAAAAAAACATACATATGCCGTCTAATGGACAGTACGTGCGCGCGCCATCTCCGCGCGCTGTGCACATATGTACATATATATAAACATGGTGGAAATTGTGTGTTGATTGGCACGTAGCAACGAAGGCCGCGAGATCGCCGCGTTCGAGGAAGAGACTCTGGCACTGAGACGGGAGCTGCAGGAGGCCCGGGCGTCCAAGTGCCTGGCCGAGGCAAATCACATGGCAAAGTGCGTAAACGCAGCATCGGTCACGCCTGTCGCTACTTTCGATACTACGCAATCCTACGTAACCAGCACCCCCGTGCGTACCGCTCTATCCGACACCTGTAGCCTGATCCCTGCACAACCGTCATCGACATCGTCGTTCTCCTCGATGGTCCCGCAACACTTCACCTCGTCACTATGTTCCCGAACCGCGGAGCTGGCACAGCATCTCGTCACAGCTGACAAGACGAACGTTTGCCGAACTGGCGATTGTGGCAGCCCAACGACGTCCATCAATGCGTCGTGGTCTCTGGACGATCAGGCCCTGGTGACTAGTAGTGGCAACCAGTCGCCAGTGATCGCCACCAACACTAGTACTAGCTCGGAATCACGACATCAGGATGTCATCAGTTTGGGGGAGAGTTCTAACATCTCTGGCTTCGAACTGACACTGGAGACCAGGAGTTCTGATCAACACGAGGATGACTCTGTTTTCGACGATCAGAATCTGCTGGATGAGCTCAACCTCAGCTCGAAGATGATTACGGAAGAGAGTATCGCGCGAGACGACGATTTGAAGACAGAAGATTCCACCGTGACGAAGAGCTCAGAGACGGTGTCCGCGACGTCGAGCGTGCAAGAGAAAAGAATAAAGGAGTCGAGGAAGGAGCTGGAACTGTCGCGTGGCGGTCATCATCAGAGAGCAGGATCGAAGAAATCCAGGAAGAAGAAGGGCAGTTCCCTGTCGAAGAGATCGTTCAGCGAAACGGAGGGAGAGAGGAACAACGAAATCGGGGCGAAAGACATGCGGAGAACGGTGAGCGAGGACGAGGATCGGAGTCGTCTGAACGACGACGTCGACGATGAAACGAGCCGAGCCATCACCGAGATCCCGGAAGTGACTGTTGTCGGTGGTGGCTCCTTTGTGCCGAAAGATCTCTGCTCGACGGGAATCCTGACCTCCAGAGTCCTGACAGCACCTTCACGCGCTACCTACACCACCGCCTACATTTAGGCTATGTACGCGCGGGGCCCCTGCGAAGCAAATGCGAACCGACGGTCACCGTTGAGCGGGGCTTCAAGGGGCTTGCTAGAGGCTACTACTATGTACATGTCGAATAGCACGTAGGTCTATCGTTGTTCCACTCCTTTTCTGTCTGCCTGTTTCTTGTCTGTACAAAGACTGTCTCTTCTGTATTTCTTCCTTTCTCCCTTATGGACGTGAATTCCGTGCGATTCCGTCGGGCTCGAGGAGCGAGCTTTCGCTTGGTTCGTCTTCATTGGGGAATATTTTTAGAGAAGATTAAGCATTTTGAATATATAGATACTCCAGTGATAAAATACAAGCGAATAATTGTTAATGAATGTATCGTACGAAATTCTGGAGAGATTCTACTATTCTTAATGTGGAATATTATTATTTCACGAAAAATTGGAACGTGAAAAATATATACGAAATACTAACTTGAGAATATTGTTACGTCGACATGAAGTTGATATCGAGAGATCGACTGAAGATGCTCCCACGAATACGAATGTCGATATATTGATCGGCCGGTCGTTTCGTTAGCACTGTTTAAACAAAAAATCGCGAACGTTCGGATGGTGTAATCCAGATGTAAATAAAGTTTTACTTATACAAAAGAGACTAATTGATTTTTCGACGATGTCGAAGCGGACCTCCGTGGGACGTAACAATATTCTTAATACGGAATATTATTTTAAGAATATTCTTAATGTAGAATATAATGCATGAACTTAGAATATTCCTACATAGTTTCCTTTATATATGTAAGCTAATGAAGATTGTTGGAATATTTGTATATCCTGTACATACACTTAGGAATATTCTTAAAACATATTTATAGATAAATTTTGTAAAATAACAGTAATATTCAGTTTTAAAACTGGATAGAAGACATATAGAGATTTGTTTCCTTTTTCTTTTTAATCGCGTTGTTATAATGGACATTATTACATCATATAACGCTAGTTTTAATACAAACAAGGTGATGCTAGAAATTAAACGTTGATTTCAAAAGTTGAAGCATGATTGAAATAGCGTGAACCAAGCTTGAGATCGTACGGAAGTATGGTAACTATATTTTCCCCTCGATGGTTTTTGTTCGAAGTACAAGAAGAGTTTGGAAGAATTCCGTATGTATATGTAAAATTATTTACCAACTATTGTATTCTCACGATCTATATTTTCTGAACTCTTCTTTACTTACCTATTGTAATTTCAACGTCTTTGAAGTGGAAATGAAAGATACAGAAATTTTGATTATGTACAGTAGTATTTAAAATTTATGATCGAAGAATTCACAAAAAAAAATGCAAGAAATAATTTTAGAATTTACATCTTTCAGTTTCACTACGTAGCAATTAATTATATCATAAGCGTGTGTACATTTAAATAGTGTTATGTACGCGTTGGCATGGCTTTGCAGCTTGTGTGGCATGCGTTCGATTTTTCAATTCGTTCATTATTTTTAGTATTCGGTGTATATTGTTTTTCAAGCCTCTATTATATTATTTAGTTTAATTTTCCTCAAGCTATATTCAGCTTGTTCAATTTTTATCGAATCATTTTAATTTTAAATCAACTTAGATGTCAGATCCTCAACATTATACACAAAAAATGTTCTAATTAATTTTCTTCACTGTTAAAAATATCTTAAAGTTTAAAAATCTTTTACTGCGTCTAATCAGTAAACAGATTTTTCTTTACATTAATATTACTTTAAGCGATGTTTTCAAATAAACACGCTTTCTCTTGACCATAAGTTCGATACAACTGACTCTGCTGTATCTTTCAGTTATTTTTTTTTATCGAATCGTATTTTTCTATCGTTAATTAAACTGAAGGATCCGTGATAAAAACGATTCGAATCAAATGTTTTTGGTTTTTTAGATACTAATGTATCATAACTTATTGTAATTATTCACTAATATCGAATTCTATAAAAGTCTCTTTGCCATGAGGACTATAATTTTAAGATATAGTTCTTTCATACAGTTATATTTTCGTATTTTATTTCAAGAAATTGAAATGTATTAAGAATTTATTCTTCTGTTCTCTCGAAGAAAGCTAAGGATGGACAAGAATCATTTTTGTCATGAATCTTTCAATTACCTTAAATCTAAAAAAAAA